GGGAGAAGTGGGGGTGCGGGGAGGAGGTACGGTGTTGAGTAGCAGGGGCGGGCAGCGCATCAATTGGACAGCAGCAGAAGTGCGACACGTGGAATGACGACAGTGGGACACGTGGAGGATGAGGAGCGAGTGGAGGAGGATGAGGAACTGCCGGAGTCCAGGGGAAAGCAGTCCAGAGTTTCAAGAGGGTAAGGGTTATCATGGATAGTGACGAGGAAGAGGAGGGGCATCAGGGGAATCAGGTGCAAGAGTCTGCGGTGGGAGTCGTGAAGGACAGACGACGAGGTACTGTTGAGACGAACAAGAGATAGGTTATTGGTAGAGGAAAGGGAGGTGGGAACTCCAGTAGTGACGACGAGGCGCTCGCTAGAGCACTTCAAGAGGAGGAAGAGAGAGTTGAAAATGAGTGCGATATGAACTTAAAGACCGATGAACGGATTGCGAGGGAGTTGCACGAAGAGGAGGACGTGACGGTGGGAAGGAGGAGGAGGTTAAGGACGAGAGCAGAGATGGAAGTTGATGGATCAAAGTCGAGACGAGTTGTGCGCAATATAGATGATAATGACGAAGCGGAGGACGATAAAAAGGATGATGGAGTGATCGTTGGGCGCGATGTGTCGGCAAAGAAGGCGGTAGATGATCCAATGTCAGCAACTCTCTAGCGATGTGAATCGATTGCGGCCTCGCTTAGAAACCAATTACGGACTCTGAGCTTCAATTCTGATAATGTGGCAGACGATGTCTCCTCGGAGGTGGATGACTCAGCCGTCAAATTGGTCACGCAGGTGCGGCATCCTTTCTTACCCTTGCGATGGTGTTGATGTTAACCCCCCTATGTCTGTTGTTTGCCCGGTCTTCGATTTACTCTCTCTGTCTGTGTGTGTCTCTGTGTTTGTATGATTTGATTATGCACATGTTTTGTGTGTGTGTGTGTGTGGATGTGCGCATGTGCATGTTTGTATATTTGTGTTGCTTTGGGTGGGTGTCAGTGCGCGCACAATTTTTTATGTTTTCTATGTGTTTTTGTGTAGGAATGCAAGTCTGTTGTCATCTGCGCTATACGCAACCCCACACGGAAAGCATGACAGTGACAAACTGTTTCGTCAAACTTTCATCAACTCATGAGGAGATGTGTGTGTGTGTGTGTGTGTGTGTGTGTGTGTGTGTTCGGTCGATGCAACAACTCCACAAATATAGAAGGGTGACAGGCTGCTTCGTTGGACCTGCACCGACTCATCAGGAGGTTGAACCAAGACTGTCTCTCAGCCATGCATTTGGCTGATGGATTTCAGGCAGTGTCTGTGTGTCTGTGTGTGTGTGCAAGTGTGTGTGTGGGTCTGTGTGTTTGTGTGCGAGTGTGTGTGTGTATGTGTGTGTGTGTGTGTGTGTGTGTGTGTGTGTGTGTGTGTG